TAAAAATTTTAAAATGTCAAATATAGATCCATCAAAATAATTTTGATGCACCTCTGCGCAATTATACTGTATGCCACTGTTCATGGATGGCGCCATGCGCAAAGCGTAATTATTTGTTTTGCATTGTGGTGTTATATACGAAGGAAAATCACCATTTCATGGCTGTTCCTCTAAATGCCATATTTTATTTACTACTAGCTATATACTCACATTCTTAGTATACCTGTCTCCAACTTTACTGATGGTGTCTACTACTTCATTTTTTATATGCTTTGTTATTTTATACTCAAAATGAGTGACTAAAGTAAAAGACCAAAAACATAATTTTAATATTGTCTAAAATGAATCAAATTTTTCTAGACAATTTTAAAGATAAATTTGCTTGTTAGCTTTGCGGCAGCAGAGTTTCAGTGCCGAAAAAATATAACGTTGAATGTCAACTTTCAGACAATTTATGCCACCTTGAAGGAAACCTATTCACTTACATTTGAAAAGAAAGAAGAAAATAAATCAGCTAAATTCAAACATTTTCGCCCAGCAGTCATTTTTACTAAGTTGGTGGTAAAATGTAAAAATGCCATTAACTGGAGCCGACTGCTTTAATTAAAGGATTTCCTAATAAGCGTAAGCTTATGTTACCCGTTTGTGACTAGCAGCCTAGCAAACGTAAGCTTGAGCTAACTTAGCTTAAGCAGACTTACCTAGCAGTGTAATCTTATGTCAGCAGTTTGTAATTAGACAAGACTAGCAGTTTGTGTCAAAAGTACAAGACTAGCAGATAACGCCATCATAAAACAATTACATGCATACAAAGACATGGAAACTCAGTTAAAACGTGACTTGGAAATATCTGACTGGCCCTCATTACAATTTGACTAGTTTTAAAGTATATCAGACACTGCGCAGTTATCAGTTATGATGAGAATAGTATTTAATAATTTTTGTAGAAGAAGACCTACTGAAAATATTGCTTATGAAAGGACGAACCAGAGGTGATAATATTCACAACATATTTACAGTATATGCAATGTCGACAGATGTATCTCTACACAAGCTGTTGGAAATAAGTATTGATGAAGCACTAGCAATGGGTGGTAATATTAATTGATTTTTCCCCTCTGCAAGGAAAGTAACTCATTTCCAAACTTTACGTATATCTCTTCATCATCTACCAAGAAGCTTTGTGCGGTAAAATATTGCTCTTCGAACTCATCATGAAAAAGTTACAAAAATAGTAAATTTTATTTGAGTAGCCTCTTTGCAGCACAGGAAAGTCCTGAAAATCTTGATTTCATTCGGCACGTTGGCTCAATGTTCTTGCAAGTGTTCTTGCAAGAGTTCTAAATTTAACTGAAGAAGTATAAAATTATCTCATTACCCGAAATCAAAATTTTGCTGAAATAACGGGGTTTCGCTAGTGGTTGGATTTAAATTTTCTCACATAATTGAGATATTGGTTATTTAAAATTTTTGCTGGAAGGAAAAGAAAAATATATAGTTTTAATAACAGAGTTTGTTAACTCAGCTTATGTTTACTAAGCTTATGTTTTGGATATTGCATCTGTAGATGAAAACACTAGTATATTCCCTGAATATGAAACAAATGACACGCGAAGCAGAAATGCACTTGTCCTCATTTGTTATCAACCTTCAATTACTTCAGGATTAGTTTGAAAAACGATTTCAACAGTTTAATACTATCAAACCAATGGCCACGTTTTTCATCAACCCTTATACCTGGCAAGTAAACATAACTGAAATATATGCATATATTGCAAAATTTGTTCAAGAAAGAGTAGAAGAACTGGAGCTATAAATTTTGAATCTTAATACGATTTTGTCCTAAACTCCAATGTATCCAGTGAGAATTTCTCGTATATACTTGACAGAAACAAAAGTTTTATTCTTGAAAAGAGAATTACAGAAGATAAAACTGTTTTGGGTTCCACATACTTGTATGAATCATTGTTTTCAACAATGAATGTTAAAAATCAAAGTATATTAACCGCTATTACTCGGAAACGAGTCGGTTCCTTAAAGCAATAGAAAGATTTATCTCTGCTATAGACACACAAGGCGAAAGCATACTTTATCAAAAATTGTCTTGTTTATTTTTCCAGGATATTTTATTTAAAATTTTCTTGTTTTTTTTTCCAGGGCTTGCCACAACAAAAGTTACTCGCCTTGTCTTTCACGGAATCAAAATAAACAGAAGTATTATTTCTGAAACGAGATCGCTACATAACATATCTTGAAAACGCACTTTTACTCAAGTTATAATTAAAATTATCTTCTAATGCATCGAATGTTACTTATTTAAATATAATTTTTGTCCAAATTATTTATCAGTACACTTTATGATCACTAAAACAATTTATGAAATTCAGTCAGCTTAGCATTCTTTCAAACATACAGTTTGTTAATTCTAGCTAGAATGGAAATATTTTTAAACCATTCGAATGTATAATTTTCCACACTTTAACATACTGACAAAGTGGTATGTAAATACTGCTATAAAAACAAGAAAAGGTCTTACACTGAAGAAAAATGTCATATTTAAAATGGAATAATTTTTTCAGCTTCATATCAGTTATTGGTATGTGCTCATCAAATGGACGAACTACTTGAATATTTAAAAACAGAGCACAATTTTATTTTGTGGTTGCTATCTTCACAATCATGTTTTACATCTGAAGTTAGTTCACATACTGAATCTCAGTATCGGAAATATTTTTGAGAGATTTGAAATATCTGAAAAAGAAATATACTACATTTTTATCTTCATAAAATAAAAGGTATTTTGTGTTTCATGAAATATTTTATATATATTCTACGGAAAAGAAAATGCATACGTGTTATAAAATGAGAAAGATATATCTTTTTATTTGTGTTCGATCACAGAATATTCTTTCGAATACTAGAGAAATTTTTAGAATTTTTCACTCCTTATGAATGAAACAAAAGCATTTCATAGCAACGGAGGGTTTACCTCAGATAAAATATGCATAAATGGGGAAAAGTTGCCAACCGTAATTATTGTAACGTTTATTTTAAGTATCCAAAACAATTTTATTGAAAGCGCTGCGAAATATTTTGTTATGAGTTGTTTGTCTATTTAACTCTTAGCTCCTTCTGTTTTGTCACTGATTTCATACACACAAGTATGTTAAAATAGTACTCATGTATGTAAAATAGTTAATGTGAAAAGGAAATTTGTAAGCAAGTAGGAAAAACAACTTAATTGTGAGATATGATTGTACGATTGTTGTTAATCTATTTATCGTTTACTGTCTAAGAATTCCATTGTCGGAGTTAGTTTGACTTAAAGACATTTTATGGTAGTAAGCGCTTTAATTCTGTTTGATAATAAATCTGTAAGAGAGTAATCACTTAGAATACATCAGAGCTCCTCTTACCTGGAGTTATTAATTATGAAAATCAGATATTCCTTGCATTTAAGTTATGACGATTTATTATGGATTTGAAAGGAGAGGTATATATTAAAATTTCAGTAGTAAACGGACTTGATCCAAATTAACTTTGTTTATTCAGAAATTAAGCAGCAAGACATTAAATTATGAAGACTAAATTTTACAGGGCGGCCCGCGGCAGAGCGATAAAGTCGCTGAACACTGGTAGTTCGGTCTGAGGCTAGAATCTCGCGAACGTGCTGGCTGCATGGCCGTTTTCGTGGTGTTCCCCATGTGTAACGTGTATACGAGCCAGTTTCCCTAAGAAAGTCCTCCATGAAGGCATTCCTCCCTTTACGCAGATAGCCCTCGAGGCTTTGCCATAATCACACACACACACACACACATTACAGGGCGGCCCAACCGGGATAGTGGTTTAACTGCTAACCGAAAAACCCGGGTTCAATTTCCCGAAAAATCATGGTTAGTATTTATGCGATATGGGGACAATGCGGCGAGCCGAAATTTCTATTGAGAGGTTGGTGGTAGGGTAAGAGGGGTGGGAGACCCTCGGTGCTATACCCCCGTGGTGCTGTTCATCAAAATTGGAGGCAGAACTTAGCAAAGTCGGGCAGTCACCTGTATAGACTGCCACTTGTTCAAGGCTCTTGCTAACGACAGGCGCAGTCTTGGACGCATTGCCACAATGAATTTCGTAAGCTTGTTTTGATGCTGCTTTCGAGACGAGTGAGATAAGTCACAACACAACAACATAGTTTACAGTTTCTATTGGTTTGGAGACGCGGGTAATTCGAGCAGCTTAACTGCAGGAGGATTGAGAGCTGAAGTAGAACAATGGGCTATATGTAGAAAATAATCAAATTCCATACTTATATGAAAGAAAATATTATATCATTAAGAAACACTTTATGAAGGATTCAGAAACAAACAACGTTTGGTTCTAAAACACCTTTAGAAATTTTCCAGGCACTGTTAAAATTACATTTCGTCAAAAGAAGTGTTAAACATCCTTGAATTGATGTTAGAATCTAAGGAACTTAAAGGTAAAACAAGTGGCTTATTAAAGATAATATAAGCCCTTGGTAAGTAAATCTCAGTTACTTTCACAACACTTATTCTCAATTTAATCTTATATTAATATTATTAATAAAGATGACTCATTTGATTTCTCTACTTGCGTACATATTTTTCGAATGAGAGCTTTGCACTTTGGGGTCCATTGCCTATCTATCTAAAACCTCAAGGATATATTGGGCAAATGAGTGCATTTCACACATCTGTCTGACCATGAAACTGGAGACAGTAAATATGGCACAATATGTTTGGAGACTATATCACCTGTGCATGTGAGTTGAAAGCTTAAGATGATTTTACTGCCAAATGAGCATTAATCTCAAGAAATGAAACAGCTGTATAAGCCATTGCGAAACCTTTTGCAGTTATTTTCTCCTGCTCGTTTCTCGTCATAGCAAGTCACATCTCGATGCACTGAACTAATTATGTTCTTGGCTGGAAACTATTTCTATATCCTGCAATAAGAGCATTAAGAATTGGTAAACGTATTATTACCTCTTTTCTGTTGATACAATACTGTTCTCTTATATCTTCTCTAGAGTAAATAGGATGGCCTTTTTTATTCCTGAGGACGAGGCTCGACCGCCGCTTCACCATCTCATCATCCGAGTCGTAGGTGATGGTGTCCGCCGAGAGGTCTACTTGCACGCTCTCGTCTACCAATGGACCACCACCACCCGCTGACTTCAGAGAGACTGGAGTCCCCCCGCGAGAGCTTAGGGTTAGCCGGGAGTTGGCCAACGACCCTCCAACTGCAAAGACAAGAAGAAATATAAAATTAGCTGCGGGGAAAAAGGGTAATGTAATATTATAAATAAATATAAAAGAATTTGATTCATTAGATTTATATTAAGTGCATATGTAATGCAAAATTAGTCAAAGAAATACAGGAATGCAAAATAATATTATTATGTTATGTAAATGGAGAAACAAACTAACTACTGTTTCTTTCTTACTGCTACTATAATGATCAATGATACATTCAAATAGTTAACAAGGACACCGATACTTCTGTTACAATATTTCATTGCCCATTCTAAATCAGCACTTGTCAATTATTTTATTATCTCAGCGAAATCATAGAAACTTGGCGAATGACTGCACAAAAATCTTGATTCTCAACTAGTAATGTATCACAATATAAATAGCATAGTAATTATGGTATAAGGTATTTCTTCCGCCGCCTTGGCATGCCTTTGTAGTGTGGTGGTAAGCATGCTGGGCGCGTATCAAAAAAACCTAATGCCTCTACAATAATATCGTTATAAATTTATTTTAGTAATAGCATGATATAATAATGTTTTTTTATCAGTGTACCATGCTACTTTCAACAGAACTCTAATAAAATAAGGGTGTTTCCAAATGCAGAATTATATTTCAATATGAATTTATTCAATTAAGATGATTTTCAATCTGACTATGGCTTTATCGTTTACGCAAATTAAAACAAACTCAAAGGGGAAAATATTTACAATAAAACTTGACGTAATGTATGACAATGTATTTAAGACACGTTCACAAGCTTTTAACTTAGGTTGCTAACAAGTATATAAATATATCCCATGTGATTAAAAATCGAAAATGAAAACAGACAGATGTCTTCTTTTCAGTCTCTCATTTTTATTGCGCTCAGAAACTATCTACCAAAGAATGCTTTGAAATTTAACTTTTAGCTATTTAAATATTGCTGTTTTAACCACTAAATTAAGAAACTTGAGAGAAAAATTATAATTTATTTCCAACAATTAAATTTGAAGTTTTCACACGGTCTTATTTTTTGGCTTGATTTCCATCCCAAAAATGCCTCTAATTTAGAATTTATTAAAAAGCTAGTTAAGCTAAAGTAAAACTAAATATCATAATTATTTAATTGAAATTTATGGTGACTCAAAACAAGATTAGAACTTTTCTTGCCTATGCTATAAGGTTTTTCCTGCGCAGTCGATCATAGCTTTGATCCTTGCGCTTAGTGTGAAGAGGAATCAAAAAATATTCAGGCGACTGATTGATAACAGCAGTATAATATCTGAATTACCGGAGGCTGTATATGAGTTACGTACAGGGGAACCGAGACGAAAAGTCTTAAGTTAAAATGTCTACAATACATGTATTCGATACATAAAGAAGATTCATACAAAAAAAAGTTTTTAAAAAAATCTGAAAGGTTTCAGAGTTTAAATTACGTCCAAAGGGGCGTTTTTTAACATTTTGTGTGTTACCTTCTTTATTAAATATCATGTTCCTCGCACTTAAAACATAAGATTCAGTGCAACAGCAATATCGCAAAATAGTTTTAAAACGAGCATATCTTTAGAATTTCCGATACAGAGACTCACGCGCTGGAGATAAAAATGTTTTTTCTGCACAACGTTGCCATTGCTCGCTTTGAAATCCTTGAGCTTGTTAATCAAAAATTCGTCAAAGTTTTAAAAATAGGAAATCGATCATAAAACAAATTTCAAATTTGGTCTTCCACATGCTCATATTCGTTGGAGGATTACGTTATTCAAAATTCGATGACTCTATGTACCGTTATTTTATGACAATGCGAAAAATATACATACATTTATGCAGATTTTTCATTATTTAATTTCTTCAAATATAATGCAGGACTCTAACATTTTGTGGCAACAGTTTGAAAAGTGAACCGACATTTTTCCGTCCGACGCAAAATCGGAAAACGAAAACAATAGTCCTTCAGGGACAAATCCCTTTGGACTAACAATGGAGAGTGAACAATGAAGTTTTATTTGTTCAATCACACTATTTCTACATGTGCCCTACGAGTAGTACAGAGAATGCTTAGCATCTGATATCCTTTAGCGCTGAAGAATGTGCACGGCAAAGTTGCGCGTTTTGGATTTATCGTCGGGTTTCACCTCATAAACAATTACACTTTACATGCATGAAGCTTTAAGAGCTTGCGTAGTACGTAGCACATCTTGCGTAGTTTGATTTGGGGACACCAAGCTCAATGACGCCATACGAACGAATTTCTTAGGATTTCTTGCAAATGTATATGAAAAATGCGATGAACACAGTCTCCTCTTGATGGCCCACTACCATGCCTTTTAGCACCAGATCCCGTCTATAGAAATGCTGCTTTCCACGTCTTGATTCTTTTGACATCGGGAGGGTTTATGTGATACGCTTCATGGAAACGTCGTTGAATTGCAGTAACGCACTCTAATCCTGCATATCACCACACGGTTTGTCGGTTTTCAGCATTCGTTGCCATTTTTCAATATTTTTTTTTTTTTTTTTTTTGAAATTTTCAATTTTTTTGGTTTTTAGCATATCCAATAAAAATTAAATAAAAATTAATTACAATCAAAATGAACTTGATAGGACATTATAAATATAAATTTCCATAGCTAATCTTCCATCTCATATTTAACAAAATTGCCTGGGTTGTTAATTATGTTCATTATAAGTGTTTCAAATTGGAGCGTTTCGTCTTGGACAACCTGTATTTTTTAACGACGTAATGAAATCTTCAAATTTTGCGTTGAGTACTATTTTAAAGTCAACCACAAAATTTGGTCTCCCAAACTCTTAGTGTTAATTAGTTGCTAGTAATTTATAATATCAATACAAAAGCCAAAAATTTAGTAATTTACAACGTAGGAAGATAATATGGCCTCATTTCTAATCTATACTCTGTTACTTTAAAAACAAATTTCAAGGTTATTTTTCGCCATCCGACGTGACTCATAACCGAGAAACGACAGCTGCAGCAAACGATTTAGGCCGCCTATTTTTTTTCCGCTATTTCATTTTCGTTTAACATCTTACGCTTCATGAAAAGCAGGCGAACGAGCTTCATGAAAAACAACTGAACACTGAACTCGCAAATCATACTATAGAAATGATCCTGTGCAGTATGATCTTGCCTGGCTTGAACTGCAAACTCAAAAAGAAGTGAAGAAATCAAGTGCTATGCGATGATGACGACACCCGTTACGATCCATGGACATTATAAGAAATAGACCAACCCAAATGGGTTTTCCCCCTTGCCCTGGCGCATTCCCGGCTGTCACCTTGACCGCATCAGGAGGAGTAGGGACGACTTGCAGAAACTAGTTGGCTATTGCAACGCGTATAATTTTCAAGAAAAAGCTGGTGATAGTGCCTCCTTTCACAAATTAGAATTTTTAAATATTTTTTTAAAACTGAGATTGATTTTTAAAAATTTAGCATGTGTATCAAGCATAATTAATGTTCTAAATAATTATAAAGCTGTTGCATGCTTTCAGGTCTGGATATCTGTTTAGCTTTTCCATTGCTGTAAGAAACTTTTTATCTATTTCTTTTAAAAAATAATATTTTAAATCTGAACTTATAAAAAATTCAAACAAACAATTTTCTCTTACAATTTTTATGCTTTTTATTGGTGTAAATAAGTAAAAAAATACTAAAATTTAAAAAAAAAAAATGGATTTTTGAACGTTTTTGTTTAAAATTCTTAATTGTTCTGATTTTTTTAAATTATATCTGAATATTATAGCATAATATTCTACAAAGGAGTTTTATTTCAATAATATTTCATATAATACATCATAGTGATAAACACTTTTACACTTTAATAATTTTTATGCGTTTATTCTAGTGCTAAAAATTGTATTTAATTGTAATAATTAATTGTGCTAGTATTTTATAGTGATTATCATTTTAATTTATTTCTAGTTCTGCGTAAGTTTTCTTACTTATTGTGAGTTTATTTTATTAGCCAAAATGGGCGGCAGCTCAGAAAAGCTATTAGTTTCGAAACGGCATTTTACTTTGTTTCACTATAAATGGTTTCACTTTGCAAACTCTTGCCACCAAATATTATCGCCCTGTATTATATTTAAAGAAATTAAATAATGAAGAATCTGCATGAATGCATGTATGTTTCTCTCTCACTGTGAAAAAAACGACGGAATTTTGAATAACGTAATCCTCCACCCGAACATGGGCACCTGGACGGCCTAATTTCGAATTTGTTTTAATCCATTTCACATTTTGTAACTGAAGTTTTGATTAACAAACTCAACAAATTCAAAGCAAGCAATGACAACCCTGTACAGAAAATAACATTTTTATCTCCAGCGCGGAAATTCTAAAGATATGCCATTTTCAAATATTATGTGATATTGCTCTTGAATTGAATTTTATGTGGTTTACTTGCGAAGAACATGATATTTAATAAATAAAGGTAACACGCAAAACGTTACAAAAACCGCTCCTTTGGGCGTAATATAAAATCAAATCTGAGTGCTTCCAGAGTTTATCTTTCCCTCCCCCCTTCTTACACTCAGAAACGTTTATGCTCCGAATTTTATGAATTACTAAAATAAATAATCATCTTATAATGTTAATAATTAATGATCATATAATCAAATAAATGATCGTCTTGTTATGTTATAATAATTTTAAAAACTACTGCTTGAAAATGCATATAAAATCAAAGATTATCAGAGCTTGTTTAATTTTACCTTATTTGTTTCAAAGCATCATTAAAGTTTCAAGCAATATTATTTAACTTTTCTTTATTTGTACACAAAAATAAGTTCATAAGTTTTGCGTTTAGAATTTTTACCTTTTTACTAAAGCAAAGAAATTTACACAAGAATTACGCTTGAAAAAAATGCGCAAAATGCAGTAAAAAGTAATTTTATGAGATATATTAAATCTTATTTTCAAAATCTGTGACTTTCATAATTTCATCACTTATACAACGTATCACATTTAATAATTAAAAACAGTTATGTGATACAAACGCCATAGGTTTCCGTGTTAA